CCCCCCCCCCCACACACACTCATCATTCTGTCACTTTATGTAACTTGCTGACAAAACCCATGACCCTTAATGCATGAGTCATAAAGGCAAGCATGAACTTAGCATGCTTTCCAGTTGGGCACTGTAAACGCTCCTGCGCTTCACCTTGCACAGGATGTAAGGGGGTGCCCAATAAACTAGCCCCCTCCGGGGCAATCTGTAATCGGAAAGCTCTGCCAAGTCCTCCAGTCACTGTTGCCAGGCAAGGCTATTATGTTCAGCTATGGTTTCATCCCACCCTCTTCTTCGTCGACATTCGTCCTCAAACATCATATTCGCCTTAATGAGGAAAGGGGAATTGAAACCAAATGGATCATAGACTGAACTGACAATGCTCAACAAGCCCCTCTTCGTAGTAGGCGTAGTTTGTACACAGACCTTAGCATATAAGTGATCTCGTTCCAGGTCCCACATAATTTTCAGGGCACATTCTATAGGTATCGTCTCTTGGCTTATGCCCACTTCCATTTTTCCCACGTGTCGCTCCTCCCAGGGTATGGAACTTAGAACACCATTCTGATTAATTATCCACTTCAATTATCCACTTCGTCAGCCCGAAGCCATCAGAGGAAGGGGGGGGGGGGTAAAGGCCCAACAAGGTCTAGACTCTATGGCAACTCTTGACAAGGGTTCTGTCATAATAGGCCTTAGGTGACAGGAAGTTGACATTTATCACGTTACCTACAATAATCCTAGACATGGTCAAAAGAAATATTATTTAACTCTCATTTCCGTTTTCCTGTGTGAAAAATGACCTGCAGAGGGACTTTCATGAGCAACTGAGAGAACAGTGTTTCTACAATCACTAGGAACAACCAAGGTTCGCTTACGTATTCTCTCCTGAGACTTTGCTTTAAAACAGGTGCCTGGGCAACAAACCATCTATGTTCTCATACTTGAAAGTAGATTCATCTATAACCTCATCATGTTCACCGGACTGAGCTTTGGCTAGAACTGAAATTAGCAAAGGACATGTCGTCTGGAAATCAGAAAATTGTTGAGAGGTAATAATCAAAGGCTGTAACTTAGGAAGAATCAATGGATGTACACTTTGGGAATGATGTCGGGTCAGGTTGTTAACCCCAACATTGTTATAATTTGACAGCTATTTTTTTTTATATTCATTAAGATGTTGATATTTTATAGCCATAATAATACGAAAACACTAAATCCATGTTTTCTTCGTTGCTCTCTCTGTCTCTCTCTCTCTCTCTCTCTCTCTCTCTCTCTCTCTCTCTCTCTCTCTCTCTCTCTCCTACACACTCAACTCCTTAGCTGCCTATCATTAGACACACACACTATCAGCTTAGGTTAATAGGGAATGATGCAGCATAAAATTAAATATGCGTTACATACACAGTTCACATTATGGAGGAAGTTAACCAATAAACATAAAAACTTATTTACCGATTCTTTGTTTCAGTAACATAATGAGGTACCCATCACCACACTGATAATTTCATTGACACAAAAGGTGATCATGTGTTCAGTGGCGACAGCCGACACCCTCATGGCCAGGTAGTTGGGTTCCAATGTAATTATAGAGGTGCCTGTTCTACCAGTTATGTCAATAATTAAACTTAACACGTTGTATTTCTGAATGAGACTGACGAAAAACCACTTCAAATTAAAACTAAAAACAATCTATCTGAAACACAGAGAATATACGATGGAGAAGCAAAAAGGCAGTGATTGTGTGGCAGTCCTCAGGCACCGAACACAGTTTGTTTCAAACTGCATTGCCCGAAAGACAGTGTGCAGACCAGTCTTAATAACCATTCTATTTACAGTTATATATGATTATTTTCGTTGGGAATAACAGGTTACAGAGAAAGATTTTATTTAAAACACCATGTCCAAAGCGTGATTGTGGGTGGGTGTGGGTTATGTGTATGTGGATGGTGTGTGCGTGCAGTGTTTGGTATGCGTGTGTGTATGTGTATAAAAAATAATAATAAATAACGGTTTATTAAAAATTCATCAGCATAGAAAAATATGAACCTGGTCCCAGTGTGAGCTCACCAGCTCATGAGTTGCTGAGGTCAAGGGTCGCGCTTCCCTGAGTTTAAGCCCAGTGACACTCCCACAGGAACACAACCCGACTGATCCTTAACTCGGCAGCTCCTCAGCACACATGTCCATAACATAGCATAGTGGTCTGGGAAACCTCAGAAGATAATATTTACCCCTAGAAAAATATTAGTTCTTACTTTACTATACTACACAAAGACCAAATATTGTAACTAATAACCTGCTCAAGAATATGGGTCAGTCATAATGGCCTGATATCATCAGAGCCCGAATCAGCATGCACATACATGACAACCCGAATTATGTGTGAACCGAGAAAATCACTTTTGGCTCATCAGGGGGCGGCTCATCCGCTTATTCTTATTACTTTACTTCTGGGTTCACGAGTCATGTGTGCTGTTCTCCACCATACCCGTAACCGTGCTCAACAACACTAGCCCACAATACACCATGACCGTCAAGTTGTACTACATGCATAGTACCAAAGAATCCTTTAAAAAGTACTCCCACGTTCAGGGTGTAAGATCAATCATCAGGGTCGTTGACCTCACACCAGGACTTGGCGAGACAAGCCACATACACCCATAGTTGAAGAGAGGTGAAGGGACCTAATAGAAGAATCACCACCGATACTCGGCGGGCATACAGTACTCACTAGCACCATGGGATTTCTTGTCTCCCAGAGTTGAACATTTCACTCCACTCATCCTGCACACAGGGCAAGCCTCTCTCCCAGTACTTTATATGAGAGGGAGAGCGACAGAGTTAATTCTGCCCTATCTAAACACTGTATGCAATCGAAATGGCCTTACTTGTGAACACGGTTGGAAACGCCCACAAGAATTTGTGGACACGTGGGGCGTTCTGTTGGCGAGCGAGTGAAGACTTGTCTGCTTGCCATGAGTGAAAAGCTAAGAGTGACTCGTGCCCTCCTCCAAGCATGTCTACTGCTCTAAGGGACTAAGTAATTTCAAAATCTTAAAATATCCCTCATTGTCCTTTATTTCTTTTAGGGAAAGACGAGCACTATTTTCATATATATTTATGTTGTTAATTCCGGACACGAACGTCCTCCACTGCTTTCCGGTAATTATCTTATTAATTCGTGACCGCATGACGCAAAGCACTTTCGTATTTTATTATTTCCTAAGGACACACGTAACATATTTTGAAATGGAAAACTATCAAAGATAACTTTTGTTAATATTATCGCTGGTTTTTAACCTCGTCAATAGTGTGTGTGTGAATTAATTTGATAAAGTGCACTTAATACCCTTAGGCCTGTATGGCGCAGCTGGTTATTTCCTGACTCCTCCACTTGGCTGCTTGGGGGTACTGAGTGAAGGCTTTGTCTAAACATGCCATGCAGTATGAGTGCAAATGACTGCCTTTCTTATGGTTCCCTGTTCATCAGATTCAGTAATTTTCGTTCTAAAATTTCAGATATATATATATATATATATATATATATATATATATATATATATATATATATATATATATATATATATATATATATATATATATGTGTGTGTGTGTGTGTGTGTGTGTGTGTGTGTGTACAGTATATATAAACAGGATCAAAGAAAAACATTTTATATATATATATATAATTAAGTATAATTATTACGAAGTATACAAAGTTCTCCAACTTGATATGACTGCACAAATATTTTAAATCAAAGTTGAAAAATAACTGCTAAAGTAATAGCAATTTTTGAGTGATTTAATATGACTTTACCGAAACTCTAACAATGTTATGAGACTGATTGTAACATATTATTCTTTATTTGGTTCAGCAATGTAACATTTTGACTTACAAAGAAAATACGATTATATAGAAATTATATAAAAAAATAATTTGGTACAAGGTAAACATTTACATTTCTGATGGAAATAAAATAAATTAGGACGACGATATTAGTGTTTACGTTTAAACACTTGTTCACCAAACCTCCTGACATAGGCTACATCAGGTGATGACTTGATGCTCAAAAGCTTAGACTGAGAAAGTAGAGATTGATATGGATTAGGACCTCTGTCTGTGACCATTTCACCAGTTTTTTTTTTTTAATCACAACCCAGAAAAAATTGTACATGTAAAATAATATTGGAATTTCTTGCCTTGATGTCTTCCCACACACACAGACACACACACACACACACACACACACACACACACACACACACACACAAAATTAAAAAAATTAAAAATAAATAAAAATAAATCAGCTAGCCCTCATTGAGACAAGATGTGTCCTGTAGGCGCTCCCCCGTGGCAGTCTGGGACATTCTCTCACCTCACCTACCTGGTCTGCCTCCCTAAATGCCACACAACGTAAACACCAAGAAAAAGTGCAAAAGAGGGCATGCAAGATTATTCTCTCCCCTTCCTACTCCACATAACAAGAAGTGCTCAACACACTGACCCTCTCGGCTCTCACTGACCATCCACACGACCTCATCTACAAATTTGGTGAGCTTCTGCACCATCCTCGACACCGGCTCCAACTATCACCTGAGATCCCTGGCCCGAGAATTGCTGTTCGACTTCACAACCGCATCCAGCCCATACGAGCACGAACTGATCGCTATAAGAGCAGCCCAGTCCCAACCATTGTAAAAATTTTCAATAACTTGTAATCAACCAGTGTATTCACTCCCAGTCAATCTTACTTTTTGCACTGTCGCTATTGTTGAAATGCCCTGTAGCTTGAGAGTCTCCGCACCTAGTTATTATATATCATATTTGTGTCACTTATGTTACTTGTATATTATTTGTAAATCAAGAGACCCATTCTCCAATTATGTAACTGTATATTTTTCGCCTTCTGGCTGCCATGGTCTTTCAATAAACCGTTAATTATTATTATTATTATTATTATTATTATTATTATTATTATTATTATTATTATTATTATTATTATTATTATTATTATTATTATTATTATTATTATTATTATTATTATATAAATAAACAAACAAATAAATAAATATATAAATAAATAATGGTTGCCCTGAGTGTGAATTTATTTAAGATTTAAAAGCTGACGCCAACACAACAACCACACCCTGGGTTTACGAGATGTATGATCCAGTGTCAATTAATAGTTCGAGAATACAAGACAACCATTATTACACACACACACACACACACACACACACACACACACACACACACACACACACACACATTATGACATCTTAATGACAACACTGTAGTTGCAATTATTTGATGATTATTTTTGGAGCTTATAAATCACAAATGTTCATTAATAATTTCTACTGTAAATCAGTCATATTTAAATTTACATTAAACAGATAACACTAAAGTATCTAATTATTGAGGAACGAATAGGGCAAAAACTAAATATTTCCACTACTCTTCAAACTGCCTAATGGCCGTAGGTTTGGTGACGCTAAGAGGAGTTTACAGAGACCAGGAGCGTGAATGGGCGAAGTTCTCCACCAGCAGAGTGAGGTAGGCGATGGTGCAGCCCAAAAACAATAGGTAGAAGGCGCCCTGTAGGTGATGCAGCCCCAGGACTAGCTTTGTGTCGTCCTCCTGAAGAAAGATATGAGGAGAATACACCGATGATATGCGTAATAACATTAGTTCTTCTCATTTTACAAGAATTGGATCGGGTACCATAATGCTGTACTATGCGATACTGTATATGGAATAGTACACTATTACTGTATATTAAACGATGTTATGATGAGTATGATATGATGTGATGCAGACTGATGTTAGGCGCTGCTGTGATACTTGGTAAGGTAGTTGGGATCTGACGGTTGTATCAGGTGTTTGTGTGATTGTATGTGATGGTAAGTTCTGTGTTTTGATATTTTTTTCCGTAATGGTTCGTTTAAAACCGCATTAGCCAGAATACGACAACAGCGACAATTAAAAAGGAGAATAAACCACTAGAGTTGACGAAATTCGTAATTTCATCAATCTTATTGGCTGCTAGAATGATCTCTGCTAGCATTCAGAGAGAGAGAGAGAGAGGATATACCTACGTGTACAGTAATTGCCAGGGCTGCCTGCTGCTGCAGTGTTGCAGCTGCTCTGTTCTCCTTCACGCGTCCGGCAATTATATCGCCAGTCCAATGGGGTATAATTCCGGCATCTTCCAATTGGGATATCAGTTGCTGAAGACGCTGAAAATAAGGTACTCCCTTCCTAGAAAATATAAAATAATTTTAAAGATATAGGGTATTATCATCCTCAGATATATGTAAAAAAAATCTCTAAAACTATTAAAAATTTCACTTCTTTAAATAATCCAGAAAAACTCAATTCTCCATCCCATAACCTGAGATAAGTTTGGACAAAGTTGGGGAAAAAGTTTTATGGTCAACACATTATATAAAAAAATAATTTTATTTAAATACAAAAATTTTGGCACCAGGAGACTCTCTACCTCCAAATCCGGATAATGTTCTCCAACGAATCATCGTCTCGTATCTATTAGAGCACTACCTGGCAGGATGACTACGAAAGTCCTACCTGAGTGACCACCCGATGGCAGCTAATCCAACTATTCCATCTTTGCTGATGTAGAAGGGAGTTTGGCCGAAATTGTCTGTGTAGTTAGAATTAATAACAATGGTGATGTGGTACGATGGACTGAAGAGCGAGTAGCTCCCCTTCTTTACCTTATCCAGCCCTTCCGCTGCTGTCAGCACCTAGAGTGAGGCGAATTAAAAAAATCTGTTAAAATAACAATTATTTATAAACATGTGAAGCACATGAACGAAATTATGTTCATGTTTCACAAAATATGAAATATTTAAATACTTCCTGTGTATGATCCCGTGTAGGTGTGTTGTCATTAGTCAGTGTGTGTGTGTGTGTGTGTGTGTTTACCATCATACCATTATAAAAGTATGCTCCTGTCGTCTGTTCACATGGCTATAACTAGAGACATGATGATTGGCACCACACACCACATATTATTCTGCTTGTGGATATTGACGTTTGATAAAAAGAATGACTATGAATGCTGAAGTAAGAGTGTCATTTTCTTAGAACAGCTCATTTCTACTTGTATTACGAGAGGAATGATACAGTTCCATTTTTCATGGTAAATCGCACAAAAATTAAAAATTGTAGAGTATAACATTATGTAATTTAATATATTTTATACGAAAATCAATCAATTTGTGGAAAAATTAATCTGGAATATAATTAAATTTTCTTACTTGCATTTCTTTATTTATCTTCCGCACAACAGGGTGAGTATGCTGGGTAAAATATTGCCGGGGCATTCCTCTCATCATCCAGTGTTCTATACCCCATTTCCAGTTGCTTCGAGCTACCAGATCCTCGAAGGTTTCTGGAGGCGGTGATTTCCCTTGGACTGTCAGGTGTGCGATTAATGACGAACGAAACCCTGTAGTGATGACCAGACAGAACACCAGCCACCACCCTATCAACAACTGTAAACATAATGTAGAGTAGAGTAGGCATCAAGTAGACATGTATATATATGTGTGTGTAAACGTGTGTGTCAAGAACAAATTCAGTTTCGTTGAGTATATACACTCAAAAGTTTAGGTTGCGTTTAACTTAATTATTTTTAATGCTATCTACTTTAATGTAGATATTTTATTCTTGTTTAATGTAAATATTACAGTGGACAAAGGCAGCAGTAAGCAGAAGAGTGTGTCAGTGACAGAGAACATTTGAATAAACATTTGAATTATATGAAAGTCTTACTCTTCCCGAGTCATTGTCGGAGGGATTGGAGGGCGGCCGCTCCAAGAGAGTGCCCAAGCTGTGCAGGAGGGCGGTGGTGAGCTTGACACCTTGACCTCCAGCAAACCACCGCCAGACCCTCTGTTGTAGCCACAGAGTCACGCCCCATAACACCACGCTCACCGACAGCAATAGCCATAGTTCTCCTGAAGGAAAGAAGATGCAAACTAGGATTACATCACATGCTAGTTGTATAGTGATTTGGTGAGATATTCCTAATGTATTTGTTAACGCTACGCAGACTTTACTTTAAAAGTTACGTTTGCTGAAAGCTTTAAAAACTGGTGTGTCATGTTAATTGCTACGTTTGTTTCTATTGGTGATTTGAACATCTGTTGTGTCATATACAGTATATTACCCTGGACCTTTGAGGTTATTTGCTTGTCGTTCTATTTTCTTCCAATATTGTATCTTAATTTTCAGTTGTTTAATAAGGGTAAGGGAATTTTGTAGAGCTCAGTACTGCTATGAAGTGAACACAGGAGTCTATAAGTATAGTTGCTATCATTGTTATTGCTATTCCCTCCCATATTTATTTATACACTTAACTAAAATCATCTGTCCTATTCACATATACTCCTGATGTTAGTTGTGTCTGTCTTTATGTCATCCTTGTCTAAAACGTCGAATACTTTGAAGGAAAATATTCCCAATCTTACGTAAATAATTGATCACCCCTTAAGCACTACGATTTTATTATTTCTAAGTCGTTCTGCTTAGTAATTTCATAATCAGAATCAAGGTAAATGGTGGAAAACTCCCAGAAAATAAATTGTGTATACATTTTATTAGGAGCCATAACCAGCAGTATCTGACCTTCAGAAATAGATGCTATTAGTTAAGTTGTATGCCATGATTCCAGTCCACGTTGCTTCAGTAAGGGATACACTTATCAAAAAAATTTAAAAAGTATATAGGGTCTACCTGAAAAGGGTCTTATCACTGAGAGGTGTTGTGGCAAGAGCGTTGGCTTTAATGACACTATGCTCAGTACATCAGCTTTATAAGCCCTGAGGAAGAGTGCAACTTCCATCCGATAGGTTTGAGAACCCATGGCTCCACCGATGTCTATTTCTTCTCGCTGGAGTTGACGCAACATTCCGGTAGTCTTGCCGTCCTTGTTTGTCCCCCAAGTACGTTGAGGTTGCTCACGTACCTCTAAACTGTTAAATATACGTTTCTTAGCTATATATATATATATATATATATATATATATATATATATATATATATATATTTATTTATTTATTTATTTATTTATTTATTATGGTGATAGGATTAATCGCGAATTAAACTTTGAAATTCAATATTTTCAATGAGTGTTTTAGGGAAAAATATCGTTATCTAGAAAATAAGTAATGACTCTTGTATTAAGAAGTGGATGGATGGGACTGGGAAGATTATGGTAAATAATTATAAAACATTCTTAAATATAAACTAATTATTAAGAAAAGTGATAACATTTTAGAAAGAGGATGAACTGCCACAATGACCTATGCTAGTGGGGCGGGGGGGAGATACGTGTCCACCTTCACAAATGACGCCTGTGGGGCGCCGGTAGGTAGGGCGGTACCGCTCTCGCCTTGCAAGCCAGATGTCACGGGTTCGATTCCCGGGTCGGTGGAAAGTTGTTCCGACACACTTCCCAGCCTCCCTGCTCACCTAGCAGCAAAGTAGGTACCTGCTGTAAATCGAAAGTTGAGAATTCGTATTCAGGGAAAGTTGTTGGAGCTTCCAATCACTTACTGGCATAAAACCATTGACTCTTCAGGCTTCTACGCCCTTGTCTCTTCAGGCTTGTACGCCCTTACACAAGGATGTACAGGTGCCCAGAAAAAAAAATAAAAAAAAGACGCCTGTGTTGTGGAAATATTGCCCTGGCCGCAAGAACCTTTTTTTTTCCTTTCCCAGTGGTGAGTGTTAGTAACATTTTGCTTAGGGGAAAAGTTTTATTAGGGATTTAATCATAGATAAGTATTTAAATACTTTATATTCTGAACCAGAAAGCCGGCTAGACATTACCTGCTGGCCTAGCTGGATTCCACGTGTTGCAATATGGAGGAGAACTAACGTAAAGTGGGACAATTATTATCGAGGATGCTTTCAAATAATAACTAATAATAATGGTTTAAATATTTTGATGTTCCTTATTCATCCAACTTTCGTAGAAAAATAATCATCAATGTCTATTCGTTTATTTTTTTTTCATTTAATTCCACAAAACATGACATTAATGTTGGGGATTATTAGTTTATGTACCCAGTGCTTACCCAGTCGTATCTCATTGGCAGGCCAAAACTAAGTATGGCTAAGACTGTGATCGCCCATATTACATATAGATATTATTTTCTTTGGATAAATTTGTTAAGTATTGTATACAAAAATGTACTATTTATACCTGAAATTTAGTTTTAATGCTAGAACCGAGAGTAGTCTGGCGTCAAGACAATCCCGGAATGTGGCTGTACTGCCTGGCTCTTTGCTGTCTGGTGTGTAGTCATTATAAGGGAGGAACCGTAAGGCTGAGAAACGTATCTTGTGGCCATTGAAGTTCCGAAACTGACCTAATGAAGAAATAATCAAGGAAGAAATAATTATCTGATTAATCACGACAATCGCTCTACCTGAGTAGAAAATATCATTCGTGTCATGAAATAGTCCACTGAAAAGGTCGCATTTAGTAAGAACAATGTGCAGACAAATTAATCGTACAGTTCAACATGTAAAATGGACACAGAAATGTATAGCTGCCAGATTCAATACATATCATGTAAAGGAAGGAATATGGAAGAAGGAGAGGATTGGTGGGGAAGGAAATAAAGCTGAGGAGATGCTCGCTAGGTCCCAGTAACAGGTGTTGGCGTATGTGTTTATCTGACGATTGACTTCCAAATTTTAGATAGATTAATAGAGAGTCGGATTTCGAGAACTTAAGAGAAACCACAAGTTTACTTTGAACTTTGAACATTATATATTTTTAGCTCTCTTTTTAACATGTCACCCAAGATAAAAGGAGAAATTTAATTAAAACAATTTTATCTTCATTAGTCGAATTTATAATAAAAATTATGAAATTTGAAACGAAACTCACCACCGAAGAAGAGGTCATCAACATGTTGAGGCGAGGAGGTGAGGTTCCACTTGTGGATAAGTTGGACGTCCGCCTTCCCGTTGTTGCAGTACAGACACCGCCGGTACACCCACACACGCTCGCTCACTGATGCTGCTGGAGAAGTTAATTTTATAACGAAATATCTCTAACGCACAAATTCCTTTCATTATTATATTATTATACATATATAACATACAGTAAACGGAGTATGATACGTTTTGTTACATTATATAGAGACAATGTCAAAAAATAAAAAAAAATAAAAATATAATAACAATATGGTCATTCGAAGGTTTAGAACAAAGCTTTAAGACATTAAGACTTACTTACCTTCCTTTGGAAGGATCTTCTTTAGGCGTGAATTGCCGGTGCGTGGTGGGGTGTGGAGGGTGAGGTCGTGGAGGGCCAGGTAGAGGCCGTGGACGGTGTTACGGAGACTATGGTGAAGGAGGACGTCCTTCACTCCTGCCGTCCCACCCACCACCACCACCCGCGTCTCTGGCATCTTTGACAACCCTGAAGACTCTAACAACCTGAGGAGGAGCCAAAGCGTACAACTTAGGTTTATAATGATTGCCTTGTATTTTATTTTCAGTCCCTTGACATTTACTGAGAGCGTAATACATGAAAAAATTAAATCTGCGGATTATATGAAAACTGATAAAGTTCCAGGTCCAGAGGATATGCTTCCAGTTCCTCTCACAGGTGTTATACTGAGCTGTATCTTCTCGTTGGACTCTCCACATTTCAGCTTTTCTCCATCCCCAAAGTAAGCCGATAAATGAAACCTTCATTTATCACCCCATATCGCCTCGCCATAATGGTCACAAAGATCTCTTAAACGAGAATTTATAGACTCGAACATCTTTAAAATAACACTTGACCCAGTGATCAACAGCATGCCTGCCGCACTGGACCAATTCGATCAACTAACCAATACACTGCAGTAGTGAGACCAGCTGAGCTTCCCTTTATTTCTCTGTAACATATTACAGAGTTTGGCACACTTTAATGGCCTTTCTGCCCTGTTCTTCTTGTCTTACTAGGCAGTCTTCGTTCTATTACTCTATAAATTCCGGAGATTTTCAAATGTCTGCAAAAGCATCAACTATTTTGTTAATGCTTATTAATTATGTTTTATTTACAAACAAACAAGTATATTAATGTCATAAATCTCTCACTATGACTACCTGCTTCAAGAGAGGAAATTTTAAATGTCAAACAATCGACACCTCACACGCCTTGCTGAGTAGAGTGTATCCAATTTAGTTTCCTACATAAGAAATAATACTTAGTAACAGCTACGACATCATGCAATTAAGAAGAGATTTTAAAATATCTTTATCCCATCGATTCAAAATTTAGGAATTACGCTTACTTAAGTCTTGCCATGACAAACATCGTCAAAATTTTTGTCAAAACTGCTTCAGTAAAGCTTAGATTAAAGCACAGAGCAGAAGGTAATGAAAACAGTCAATATTAACGTCGGTATCAGAACACCTTCACCACTGCACGTTCTATTAAAAATTCATTCTGTAGAACCATAGTCTACTAAGAACACTGGGGAACAAAATTCAACTTTTTGTCAGTTGCATACATTTTGAGACCTGTTTCTGGGTAAATTGAGGTCACTGATTTCAAATATGGCACCGGTTTTTTTCTATCGGGTCTAGTTTTGTTGCGGTGAGTTACCTACCATTTACTACTATATATAGTTAGACTACCATATACTACTGCTAAAAATCTAAACCAGCACACAGAGAGGAATTACCAAACACGTAGAATTAATTTTTAATTACTTTTATTTACCTTGACAAGCATATTTTGGATTCATCAGTTGCTTTTGTGAACTATGCCAGATTTATTCAGGCACAAACTTGCGTTTAATGGACTGTCTTGAATATCGCCTCTCAGTGCAGTCTCGCTGAATGCTCCAGTAATAGTCCGCCATCATGTGAATGTCCCAGCGACCTTGATACCTGTCTTCCATGACTTTGATATCCTGGTGAAAGCGTTCACCTTGCTCATCACTCACGTCCCCCAAGTTTGCCGGAAACAGTTCAAGATGACTGTTCAGGAAATGCATCTTAATGCTCATGTTGCAACCTAACACATGGAAACTTTCCATCAAAGATTCAACGAGCTTTTTATAGTCCTCTGATTTCCTGTTTCCAAGAAAGTTCCTTACAACAGAAACGAATGCTCCCCATGCATTTCTCTCAACATCAGTCATGGATTGAGTGAAGGCTTGGTCTTTAATCAGCGTCCTAATTTGAGGGCCGTCGAAAATACCTGCTTTGAGTTTTTCTAGCGTTAAACCAGGGAACACTTCACACAGATACTTAAAACAGTCACTGTCAGTATCGAGCGCCTTGACAAACTGTTTCATAAGGCCCAGCTTGATGTGAAGGGGCGGGAAAACAATTTTTTCACGTTCCACTAGGGGTTCATAAATGATGTTCTTTTCCCCAACATTGAGGCTTTCCCTAACTGGCCATTCCTTCTGAATCCAGTGTCTGTCTTTGGCTCTGCTGTCCCAGAGGCAGATAAAGCAAGGAAATTTTGTATACCCACCTTGCTGTCCTAGCAAAAAATTGACCATTTTTAGATCAACACAGATGATCCATTTGTGTTCTTCATATTTGAGTAGCTCCAAAACCGTTTTGATGTGTTCATATTTTTCTTTCAGGTGTACTGAGTGTCCTATGGGTATTGCGCCAAAGATGTTGCCTATATGTAATAAAACACACTTCAGACTCCGCTTAGAGCTATCTATAAAGAGGCGCCACTCTTTCGGATCATAACCTGGAGCTCCCATCGCGGTGACTAATCCAGAAATATCACAACAGTAGACGAAGTCAAATTTAGAATCAAAGAACTGTAAGAGGTTCTTTTCTCTGTTGCGAAAGAATGTTACCTTTGTGTCTATTTTCAGCAAGTTTTTATCTTTTAACCGTGAAGCCAACAATTCTGACAGCTTTTTAGACAGACCCAGATCTCGAACTAAGTCATTGAGTTCTGCTTGGCTAAATGTTTGCGGTTCTGTTGATATGCCTGCAAAATCTGAGTCACTATTTCTGTTAGTTGACTCCTCTGTGACCTCAGTGTCATATTCACTGTCAGATTCAACGGAAGCAAGTTGAGTGAAGATAGGATTTGGAACATCATCTGAATGGGGCACAGGCCTGATTGCTGAATCTAGACCTGATCTGCACAAACGAATGCCATTTTCAGAATCTGTGACCTCAAATCTACCAGAATCAAGTGTCAGAACTCATGCAACCGAAAGTGTGTTCCCCAGTGGAATCATTATTACCACAGAATAAAAAAACGGGGTACATATTAAAACTTTCCTTTCCTAGTAACTATTACACATGTACTATATATTCATCACACGGAACATAGTAATTTTAAAGACATCTGTATATATTTCTATTTTGGTGAAATACTCTTTGTGCTAGAGGAGATAGTCTAGGAACCCCTTGCATACGGGGTCGTCTCCGTGCTGAATAAAGTTCCCTGACGTTAACCAAATAAGAGCTAAAAGTGGCGTTTCTATAGTGAAGGAGTTAAGAAAATTAGTGTGAAATGTTAACTATGACTCAACTTAAACTATGAAAAAGGTCGTAATAATATTTTAAGGTAACCTTCTTATTCCAAGTTAAATATGACTCACCTTGCTATTTTTACATTACCTGAGGAGGAGATCAGTACTATTGCTGGTGGTGAGGTCAAGGATGAGTCCTCGGCAGGTGGTTCTTTCGTCCCCCCACAGCCCTTGCAGGAGGTGGTCCTTGGCCAGCTGGTCCTGGGACAACACCCACCCTGCGTCCACTACCACCCCAGCCGCCACACCCACACTCATGTGTCTGAGGGACTCAAATTTATGTTATTGTAACTTCAAATGAAAATTATTATTTCGGAAACATATTATGTGGGGAACATCGAAGGGTGTAGGAGACAATGAAAGGTGACATCAGGTAGTAGGTAGTAGGCAGCTACCAAACAGGGAGGAACTACCGCCTGGGAAGATATTGGAAGAATAATGTGTTGTCTAATGGTAGAACCTGCTGCTGTATGGCAGTGCAAAAATTGTGACCAAGTCCCAGGTTGCTCATCTGACTTTCTGCCTCATTTACACACAATTGCAGGATCTCAATTGTTTCTCTTGCTATTGACAACACAACATACATACTGTATATTGTTTCTCACTAATGATCTTTTTTTTTTAATTTCTTTATGGTTCCTTATTATTATTATTATTATTATTATTATTATTATTATTGCAGTGTTATTATTATTATTATTGTTATCATTATTATTTTATTTTTATTTTTGTATTTTTTATTATAAATTTTACTGATCTGAATTATTATTATTATTATTATTATTATTATTATTATTATTATTATTATTATTATTATTATTATTATTATTATTATTATTATTATTATTATTATTATTATTATTATTATTATTACGTTTTCGCCCCCCGGACCCTGATGTGGGTCGGTGACCTGTGTCCGGGTGGGGTAATACCCGTAAAAAAAAAAAAGGCACTAAATTATTGTGAAGAATTATAAAGAAACATTACAAGGGTAAGGAAGTTTTGGTATAACGCAGTAAGTTATGATTTTATGTGAATCAAATAATTCACCTGTCAGGCAATAAAATCCCCATGGCATCGTAAGATGCAAAAATAAAACAAAAATATACTTCAAAGGCACACATAGCTTAAGAACATAAGAATGGAGGAAACTTCAGTGGGCCTATTGGTCCAGACTGGGCAGTCCCCTATAGCTCATATGTCCTTCCACTCTATATTTGAAGCTATCCAGCGTGTTCGAGTTAATGATGAACTTCGGCAACTTGTTCCAATTATCCATTACTCTATTTCCAAACCAATGTTTACCTATCTCGCGCCTAAATCTAAATTTGTCTATTTTAAAACTAATACTAAGAGTCACTCCTGGCTGGATAGAATGAATACCTTTGTTATATCACCTTTGTTTAACCCTGACATTCATTTATACACCTCCATCAAATCGCCCCTCACTCTCCGTCTCTCGAGGGAGTGCAAATTAAAATGTTTTAACCTGTATCTGCACTCAAGGTTCCTAATGCCCTGGATTAGTCTTGTCATTCTCCTCTGCATACCTTCTAGGGATTCTACAGTATATACATTCTGTAGTACGGTGACCAAAACTGAACCGCATGATCCAAGTGAGGTCTCACAAGCTTAAGATATAGTTTTAGGAAAACCTCGCTAGTCTTGTAACTAACACTCCTTTATATGAACAAAGTACTTTGTTAGCCTTGTTTCAAGCAAATAAGCATTGCTGTCTTGGTTTAAGATTCCTATTTATCATTACTTCTGAATCTTTCTCACAGTGTTGTTCATCTGTTATCTGATTTCTCGGTTTACATCTCCTAATCTAAGTACTTTAAATTTGTCCACATTGAATTTCATCAACCATTTTTTCAGACCATGCATTTTTTTTTCTCGATATTCCAGTAGTTTTGTAGAGTCCCTGTCAGATTTATTTACACACTGTATTTTAGTGTCGTCAGCAAATTTACTTATGTTGCTACCTACGCTTACATCTTTGTCGTCTTTTTTTTTGTCGATCTGTGGTGTAATTGTCATCATGCTCGCGTCCCAAGCGAGCGGACCCAGATTTGATCCCAGGGCAGGGTGAAAAGATGGGAAAATTTTATATGCCATTTACCTTGTCCACCCAGCGGTAATTGGGAACCTGTATGTTAATCAATCAGCGGATTATGTTCCAGGGTAATGGTTAGCCAGTGTAGTTGGCGAGTTGTCCGGTCTTCTCGAACTATTCCTTGACACTGGGTCATGCAACTTGTTAACTTAGGGTGTGATTGTTGTGTTGGCCACAGCTTCTACACCTAAAACAAATTCACGCTTAGGTGGCCCTATGGGCGGCCATCCTCGTCACACGAGGGGCAACAATTATTTATTATTATCTATGTTGTTTATGTATATAATAATTAGCGATGGTCCAAATACTCAGCCTTGGGGTACTCCACTCCATTTTAGACTATCTCCTCCAATTCTACGAGCCTCCACTTTTCTTATGAGTCTTTCATGGTGGACCCTGTCGAAGGCTTTGTTAAAGTCGAGGCAAACCACCTCATAATCGTGTTCGTCATCCACTGATTCGAAAGCAGCTGAAAAGAATGTTAATGGATTTAACAGACATGAACACCCACTTGTGAAGCCATGTTGGAAATCATTGATCAACTTGTGCTTCTCCAGGTGATTTTGAATAGAGTTTGAAATGATTGCTTCCAGCAGTTTGCCTACAATTGATGCTAAACTGATTGGACGATAGTTAGAAGATAGTGATATATCTCCCTTTTTGAAAATTGGTAACACATTTGCTATCCTCCAGGATTCTAGTATTACACCCGTTCGAAATGACATGTAAAACAAATTTGCGATTTGTTTACTAACATTGTTACTAGTCACTACTACCTCTCTTAATCTTTCTTTTTTTCACTATCTTTGTATATAGTCGGTGCCTCGGGTAATCATGTTTAAATTCTCGGTGGTGAAAACTGTAGATATATGAGACGAATATGCTGTAATATGTAACTGTACTATTGACCATTATTGATTCAGGTCTTTGTATTATATGTTATAATCATACTCCCTTTTGTCACTGAGTGTAGTTCATGCTTTAGGCACATGCGCGCTGTACGCGCATGCGCAGATAGATACCCAGAGAGATTCCAAGACAGGATGCTGTTTCCCCTGTCTTAACTCCTTTTGTGTGTTTGTCCCAGAAATAGAACTTACGAACTTGACACCAGTGTGTTTCCTTTACCCCTGATTGGAAGCATCACCTGGGTCTCCCACATGGCGCAGTGTTTAGCTGGGACATCACATTATTCAGAATTGGAGTGGACACAGAATCTCTCTCGGAGCCGCCATCTTGTCAACTCCTCTTGTCGAGTGGATCGGCGCGTACCTCTCAAGATATTCCTGGATTTACAGTGCAGTGTTGTGAAGTGCTTTTTCAGTGTTGTGTGTGCCCTTTAGTGTCTTTAAAGTGTTTCCCGGTGTTCCTGCACTTTTTACAAAAGAGGGAAGCCTATTTAAGACCTATGGGAGAGCTCAAGTTTCGACATCCGCCTTCGTTCGTGTTCCGACCGGCACTGGGCGTCTGAGCCGGGAGGGGAGTTGCTGTAGCCGCCAGCGCGCTCCCGAGCCAGCCCGATCCGAGCACACGCACGAACGAACGCACACACAGACACACACTCACAGACGCTTGCAGATATCTTCCATTTAAAGACAATTGCTTTTCTGCTCACTTATTAATTACAGTAATTGTGAGAGAAATAAACCAGGCCATATGGAAGATCAGGAATTTATTGGGTTTTCTTCAGATACCCAACAAGACCAACTTCAGACTGATGTCGGTGCAGTAAGTGGACTCCAAGTGGAGCGGAAAGTGGATCAAGCGGCCCCACCCACCCTTAGCCCCCACTACACACGTCCGCAACCTGCCACAGGTGTCGACTTCCTTCATTTAATTCAGTTTTTGGAAGAAAACCGACGACAAGACGACATCAGGAGGCGACAGGAAGACGATGAACGAAGACGTGAAGAGGATCACAGGCGTCAACAAGAAAATGCCAGATTCAGTGCCATTATCGAGTTGTTGGCACCTGTTACCCTTCAAGCAGCTACTACACCTGCCTCTTCGTCCACAGGCGCGCCTGCAGGGTCCTCTCCAACTTCTTTGCCCCCCCCACAGAAAGCACTCGCTCAGAGTCCACCGCCACTCCAAGCTGATGCCTCGTTCCAGGTATTCCGTGAATGGCGTCGGAGGTGGGACGATTATTCGATGATGGTCGATTTATCGAGGTTGCCTAGGGAGAAACAGCTGATCCAGATGAGGATGTGTCTCACCCTAGAGACGCAACGTATCCTGGAGCACACCCTGCAAATTCCCCACAACACAGACAAGACTGTGAAGGACGTCTTGGATGCTTTACAGACGCATATCAAGGGTCTCCGCAACGAAGCTCTGCGTAGGAGAGAGCTTCTCAGTTGTAAGCAGCTGGAGGGTGAGTCATTTGCAGATTTTTACGTACGACTCAGACGCATCGCTGAGGAGGTTGACGTTTGTCCTGGGAACTCGTCGACTTGTGAGGAAACACAGCTGAAGATGATTATCCTCATGGGCGTGCGGGACGAAGAGCTTATTCAGAAGCTTATCTCCCTCGACACTGCCTCTTCTCTACAGGATGTTGTCACCACCTGCCGCTCTTACGAAGCCACCAGAAGTGCGACTTCTGCTATTCGTGCTCCATCTAACCAGCTGTGTGCCATCTCCGCATATAAGAAGAACAAAGGACGTGACGGGACTTCAGCCTCACATCCGACTTCAGCTTCACATCCGACTTCAGCTTCGCATCACTCTTCAGCATCACTTCAGACTTCGACGCCAGGTCATTCATGCCAATATTGTGCTCGTCGGCATGGTTCTGAATGCCCTGCCGCTGACAGCACCTGCAATAACTGTGGCCTTCGTGGTCATTGGGCTAGGACACTGAAGTGCCCTGCCAACAACGTTCAGTGCCGCTCCTGTAGCCGCATTGGACATTATGACAAATGCTGTCAGTCACGGAAGAAAAATGATACTACTTGCAATTCTCAGGCGGCGAAGAACAAGCGCTGTTGTCGCGTGGGATCCTCTTCTTCTCCTGTCAGCAAGACACCTCAGCCCATCTGCGTTCACCTGTCATACGGCGACATTACTTCCCGTATCCAGATGCTTCCTGACACAGGTGCGGACGTCACAGTCATCGGCACAAGACACCTCGACATTCTGGGGATCCCTAGGAGCAGTTTGCAGCCACCGTCAACTTCTACAACGCTCACCGCAGACGGTTCTACAATGGCACCTGCTCTGGGTACATTTCAGGCTACCCTCACCCTAGGTAAGCAGTCATGTTCTGCCAGGATTCAGGTCCACAAAGGTGTCCAGATGCCCCTACTGTCTTATGGCCACTGTCAAGAGTTGGCCATAATATCTTCAGACTTCCCTAAGCCAATTCTGGAAGTAAAACATGTCAACAGGTGCAAGGAGCTGCCCCTCCCACCCAATACGTCACCTTCTGCAGCCAGGGAGTTCTTCCTACTGCAATTCAAGGACGTGCTGGGTTCCAAGGAGGACCTCAAGACGGCTCCACTCAGCAGTCAGCAGCAGGAACCCCTCATGAACAACGACAACCCTACGAGGCCCTTTGAGTCCGTCTCTGCGGATTTCTTCGTTGTGGCGGGAAAGTCCTTTCTCGTCATCGCCGACCGGCTCTCAGGGTGGCCTGTTGTCGTTCCCTGCGGAGGCAACACTACTGCCTCTCATACAGTACGTATGTTCTGTCGCTACTTCCGGGAAGTTGGTGTCCCTCTCCGCCTGAGGACTGACGGCGGGCCCCAGTTCACCAGCAACGACTTCCGGGACTGCATGGAGCGATGGGGAGTTCATCATGTGGTGTCCTCGCCACATTATCCCCAGTCCAATGGACATGCCGAGGCTGCCGTAAAGTCCGTCAAGCATCTCATCCTCAAGACGGCACCCTCAGGCAACATTGACTGTGAGAAGTTTGACCGGGGTTTATTGGAATTGCGGAATACCCCCAACTTCACAGGTCGCTCCCCAGCACAGATGTTATACGGCCACCCACTACGGTCATGTGTCCCTGCCCATCCTGAGTCCTTCTCGAGGGAGTGGCAGGCCAAGACCGAGGACTGCGATCGTCGTGCAGCCGCCCGTGCTGACCAGGTAAAGGCACAGTACGATCAGCACGCCCGACCCCTTCCCAGGTTGAGCATCGGGCAAACAGTTCGGGTTCAAGACCCGACGTCTCACCGCTGGGACAAGGTCGGGGTTGTCATGGGCTGCAGCAAGACCAGGGATTACGAGGTCCGTCTCCCTAGTGGTCGGGTATGGTGGCGGAATCGCCGCTTCCTTCGTTCAGTACCGTCCCCTAGTGGTGAACCCCTCCCCCACATCCCTGTGAACCCTTGCTTGGACGAGAAAAGTAAGTCCTCATTCAGTGAACCCCCAGTCTTCCCACGTCACTCTCAAATGTTCCTGGAAAAAAGAGTCCGCTCGAGATTGCACTACGAGCGTGAGGGGGAGGGAGGTGTAGATATATGAGACGAATATGCTGTAATATGTAACTGTACTATTTACCATTATTGATTCAGGTCTCTGTATTATATGTTATAATCATACTCCCTTTTGTCACTGAGTGTAGTTCATGCTTTAGGCACATGCGCGCTGTACGCGCATGCGCAGATAGAGATACCCAGAGAGATTCCAAGACAGGACGCTGTTTCCCCTGTCTTAACTCCTTTTGTGTGTTTGTCCCAGAAATAGAACTTACGAATTTGACACCAGTGTGTTTCCTTTACCCCTGATTGGAAGCATCACCTGGGTCTCCCACAAAAACTATTGAAAAATATATGTTCAGTTTATTGTTCATTTCTCGGTCGTTATCAGTTAAATAGACAAACATGTATTCAGATTTCACTCTGCAATTTCTTAATGATGAAGTATTTATGCCCTATCTTTAACGCGAACTAGAAGTTCTTTTATATTCTAATTCAAGGTTAGTTTATGACAATGTTCTCTTTAAGAAATAAAAAAGTCGCTGGCAAGCTGGCATATGGGCACACTTTAGGTTCTTAAAATCTGATGATATAATGAATAAAACAAAACTTGTATAATTTACTGTATTATTGGAGAAAGCATTTGCATGTCACCTGATTATACTGGCGAATACGTGTGAGTGTTGTGTAGTGGTGATGAGCACCAGGTGACAGCCGGTGAGATGGTGTTCTACTACCTGATTCACCAACACGCCCACCTGCTCCACGATTCCACCTGCATCTTTACTAAACACAGGCACAGCACTGATCGCCGTGGCAACCACCATCACTACACGGCACCCGAGTGACACCATCTTATCTTAAAACATTGACAAATAACTTTCATTGCAACAGATATTTTCTACTTTTGACGTTTCTGAAAAAAAATCATTTGAGCCAAAAATAGATGTAGATACTCCAAAACTACCAGTGATCGATAATTCATATACAGCAGATAAAACCATATTAAGGTAACAATGAAATCTATAAGTTGTCAAAACATCCTCTGGGAGCCAAGTTACAGTTATTGTTGGTAACAACTACAACACTGATCTCTTCATAAGTGTTGTGATTTGCTTTGTTATCTTTTTCCTGATTCATAAATATTATTATTAATTGTCCCTTTGTTCTTAAAATACTATCTTTATAAATCATTTGAAAATGTCATCTATGCCTTTGTTAGTAATGATTTCCTACCTCACTGGTTTTATTACATTCATTGAAGTCATTCTACATGACCTCGCGTCAGATGACCTCACATAATGTACCCACAGATGGCGACCTCACTTTACCTGGTGACCTGGCAATGGTGACCTCACAAAATATGGCTGCTTTGGGTAACTTGATCACGACATATGAGTTGGCGACTTCCATAACAATTTAAATAGTGAGTTACTTAATGCACAAAAGCAGAATATACCATACAGAAAATTCAGATAAGATAAGAACATAAGAATGGAGAAAATTGCAGCGGGCCAATTGGCCCATACTGGGCAGTCCCGTTTACACCCAACCCCTATCGCTCACATATCCACCCATCCTATATATGGAGCTATCCAGTGTATTCGAGTTAATTATGATATTTGGTAACTTGTTCCAATCATCGACTGCTCTGTTTCCAAACCAATGATTACCTATCTCGCACTAAAATCTAAATTTGTCTTATATACAGCCATTGCTATGAGTTCGCTCCTGGTTGGATAGTTTAAATACCTTTGTTATATTACCATTTTTTAACTGTCACTTCCTCCTAATACCCGGGACTAGTCTGGTCATTCTCCTCTGAATTCTTTCTAGGAATGCTATATCATTTCTGTAGTACGGAGATCAGAACTAAGCCGCATTTATGCAAGTGAGGTCTCACAAGCACAAGAAATAGTTTTCGGATAACCTCGCTAGTCTTGCAACTAACACTCCTTTGTATGAACCCAAGGACTTTGTTAGCCTTGTTTCGAGGAAATGCACACTGTTGTCTTGGTTTAAGATTCCTTCTTATCATTACTCCTAAATCTTTCTCACAGTCGATTTTCTCTATAATAATGTTGTTCATCTGATATCTAATTTCTCTGTTTACATCTCCTAGACTAAGTACTGTACATTTGTCTATAATATATTTAATCTGCCATTTTCAGAGCATGCGATTTTTTTTGCAGATTTTGCTGTAGTTTTGCGGAGACCTCGTCAGATTTAATTACACATCCTTTTTTACTGTTGACAGTAATTTTGTTTATTTTGCTGTCTAAGCCTATATCTATGTCGTTTATACATATAATAAATAGAAATTGCCCAAATACTGAGCCTTGGGGTACACCACTAGTGACATTACGCCAATCAGGTTTAGTGCCGTTAAGGCTTATTCGCTGTTTCCTGTCCTGTAACCAAGCTGTAATCCATTTTAAGTTATCTCTTCCAATTCCACGAGCCTCCACTTTTCGTATTAGTCATTAATGGGGGATTCTGTTGAAGGCTTTACTAAAGTCGACGTATACTACACCATAGTCGTGTCCTTCATCCACTGATTCGAAAATAATTGAAAATAATGTTCCTAGATTTGTCAGACACGAATGCCCACTTGTGAAGCTACGTTGGGAATCATTGATCAACTTGTGCTTTTCGAAGTGATTTCGAATAGAGTTTGAAATTATTGCTTCCACCAATTTGCCTACAATTGATGTTAGACTTCTTGGATGGTAGTTAGATGATAGTCATCTATCCACATTCCTCAAAACTGGTGTCACATTCGCGATCCTTCAGGATTCTGCTAAGGCATACCAATCTCTTTCTCACATTCATATATTCATGTGGCAAATATCTCATCGGGACTTGGTGACTTATTAAGCTTTAGTTTGTCGATTTGTTTATTAAAATCGTTACTGGTAACTACTATCTCGCCCAATCGATTTTCTTCACTATCTCTGTTATAGTCGGTGCCTCGGGTATCATGTTTAAATTCTTGGTGGTGAAAACTGTTGAAAAATATCTGCTCATTTCTCCATCATTATCTGTTAGCTCGCCGGTATCTGACTGTATTGGTCCAATCTCTTCTTGTGTTTTAGTTTGATACATTTTGAAGAATCCAATGGGGTTTGACTTCGTCTTCCTTGCTACCTTCAGTTCTTTATTCATCTTTGCTTTTCTTATCTCGGTCTTAACCATACCGGCCAATACTTTATAATAATCTCGAAGGTAAACATCACCGCGTTTTATTCTACCTATAACCTTCCTTTGTCCAACGAACTTGGGTTCATACTAATCAGTATTAGTTTACAAGACTAAAGCTGCTATCCTAAAACTATATTTTGCTTTTGTGAGACCTCACTTGGATTACATTGTTCAGTTCTGGTCACCGTACTACAGAATGGATATACAATCCCTAGAAGGAATTCTGAGGAGAATGACAAGACTAATCACGGCCATTAGGAACCTTAAGTGCACTCCCTCGAAAGACGTAGAGTGAGGGGCGATATGATCGAGGCGTATAAATGGAATTCAGGGTTAAACAAAGGTGATATAACAACGGTATTCAAACTATCCAACCAGGAGCGAACTCGTAGCAATCATTTTAAATCAGATAAATTTAGATTTAGGTGCGTCCGATACTACCAGCCGCTAGCTTCCAAGCCGTGGTCCCATCAAGTAGCCCAAGCCGCCAAGTTAGCTTCACTAAAACCTGGAATAATCCACCTATTAACCACTGTGATTACCCATCCCCACTCTCTCTAAGCAATGTAAGCAATTGAACGAAACTTACTTGTGAGTACTGTTGACATGGCTTGCTAGTGTAACGGCTAAGTGGAACATTTTTTCGGCACCGTGTCTGTGCGCCCAAGCAGCGTCCTAGGCCAGCATGATTTCAGGTAATTACTTAACTTTTTCTGCTTAAAACTCCAATTCTCCGCTGATTGTCCTTTATTTTTTCCGGGAAAGACTAGCGCTATTTTAGTAGTTATTTCCGTCTTTACTTCAGGACAGGAACGTCACCCACGACTTTCCAGTAATTATTTTACTTATTTGTGAAGTACATTACGATGACGAATTATCATGAATAAATTTTGTTAATATTATAGCTGGCTTGTAACTTCGTCAACAGTGTATGAATTAACTTTAAATAATACATTTTTTGAGCCTCGTAGGCGCCAGCTAAATACAAAAGTGTTGTAACACATTGCCACAACTTATAACGATTACTTCTTAATTACAATGGAACACAGTAATGGGGAAAACGTAATATCTCTACTGTTACCAAAATTGTGTATCTGTTGGGGTGACTGTTACTTGATTATAGTATAACAACTACTTGTGAAGCTGTCATATATGTAACAACCTTCCTGGGTTGTCACTTCTTGTAACAATCATTTGTGTAGCAAGTTACCTTATATTCTAGATGGCCGTTTAAAGGCTCAGTTAGATTGATCTCCAGAATTGTGACATACTTCGTGCAAAGTTTATGCAAGGGAACATGCTCAATTTCAACAGGTGTTTGCCTCAAGATCAATATCCATGTTTGCCACAGAATGATGCTATTTATGCTTCTTTACTTGGGTCCACTTACTTCTGTGAGCAAACATTCAGTCTATTAAATCCCAAGTCAAAAATTCCAAGTAGCCTAAATGACGTGACTCTGCATTCCATTTTGCGACTGGCAACCACAAAGTTAGATCACAGCTTGAAGAAACTCATCTCACTTCACAATAAGCTTAAGAAAATCTTTCCTATTGGTAAACACATTATTCAATTATTGATTTTCAAAGTAATATCTTAGTTGTGATAACAAATAAAGATTAGCAAACATTTGTTGCATGACGTATACTGCCGACTGCCTATTATTGGTTATCAAAAGTCTTTATTTTACATCTGAATGAAAAATGTAAATGTTTGACTTCATTTATCTAATTACGAGGACCTGCCCATATTTTGCGGCTTATGAGTTCGTCTTCTGATGTGGTCCCCTGCGTTAACACAATGAGAAGAGATGTTTCCCTCACCTCAGCGAGAATTGTTTCTTACCAATGAGTGAATTTTCAGTTAATAAGAATATACATAAACATTTGTCCGATTTTGAAAATAAGTTATTCAAACAATTGAGGATATTGATAATTAGATGCATATAGATAAAACCGATCGCATGTTCAACGCACTGCATGGTCAATAATTTCAGAATGATTCGTATGATGAGTTTTGTGACCATCATCTGTGAGATGTCAGTAAAGGGTCACTAATATGCAATATATTTATTCTTGTATTATTATATAATTTATCCTTTATTGTAGATAAACGCTTCTACAGAACTTGTAGGCAGCATCAAAGTGCTGCAGTCTACCAAGAAGCAAAACAGGACTACATATCTGAAAATTATTACCAAACTGATAAGAGTAAATCCAAGCAATATGTGCTACATGTTGAAAGTGTACTGTACACGCCCTTGCCTCCGTGGCTCTTGATTGTGAGGAAAAAGCATCGCATGGAAATATATTAGTGTTTTAAATTTCATTATCTTTAAATTTTGTTCTAATGATGGCGTGTGTAGCAAGGCTGTAGTTTACTGTAGTAATTATTGGTTGTTGCTGCTGATTGTTGGTACGTAGCGAAGACGGTCTTTTCATAATTATTCCGGCGACGATTTCTTTGGTACGTTCTTCTCCTCAGTGAACCTTCTTGCCTCCACTGTTGGATCCACCGGTAAATAGTGGAAACGCTGGTTTCATGCTCAAGAGATATTGCTTTGGCTGATACACCAGTCAACCACAGCCACACGATCCAGGCGCGGTCTATTGCCGGCGCCTGTCTCTTGGGTGTTTTCCTCATTGTCTTGTCTCTGTTAAACAATAGTACTATGTAGATCCTTTATGCATATTAACCTTTGTGTACTTTGTTATGGTAGTTAGAGTTATAGAATATATTTACATAGTTCTTATTTTTTTAGTAATGCTGTTTCTTTTAGCAATACCTAAAGCCAAAATTTTCAGAAAACAAGAAACTTTTAAGTATGGTTATATCCAAAGATGTAGCAGTGAAGTAACCAGTATCCAGAGTACGATCTCATCTGCTTAGAGAGTTTCAAGAATATTTTAAGGCCAATAATTTGACGATAAATTTTAAGTCCAACCAGTATTACGATCTCATCCATTTTAAGGATGTATGGCCCAGTCAAATGTTTTAAAGTATCAACCAGTATCCAGAGTACGATCTCATCTGCTTAGAGAGTTTTAAGAATATTTTAAGGCCAATAATTTGACGACATGCAAACCAAAATGGCCCATTATGGATACAAACCAAAATGGCCCATTATGGATAGTCAAATGTTTTAAAGTATATCGTCGTCTTACTTCCCCTTTAACCTCTTTTGCTGAAGCTCGACGGCAAATACAAAATAATTTTATTTTTAATCAGTTGTTATACAAGAGGATACGAATGATTCAATGATGTTTATTATATTAGAAAAAATCCAGAGCTTCAGGTAAATATATATTATTTCTATCGCATTGTTAGTTAAATTTGCTGTTTTTTCTTCAAAAAGTTGTTGTGAAGACTAAATTACTGTATAAGTTTTCCACTATCAAGTTTACACTAATAGTTTTTCATCATTTAAAAATATTCTATGATACTATTTAAAGTGAGTTTCATGATATAAGGAGTTAAGAAACTTCATGTCAGGTATGTTTTAATTCTAGTTCCTAATAACCGGATAAAAGAATTTGGAAATGGTGAAAGTTGAAGACTGTGATATTTTAATGAAGGGATAAAGTAATTTCATTGAACTCAGAAAATATGAACCATAATCTGAGTGTTGCCAGAGACTATAACATTTTACTGATTTTATTTCCTGTGAAGTACCAAGGTTCAACTGATGTTTATTAATGTACATACTGAAATAATTACGCTCTTTCAGGTTAATTTGAAAGTAATACAAAGCGTGAGGGAGTGTGCAGTATATCGATGAAAAAGATCACTCCTGAAGTGGAGCTCTATGGAAGAGTCTTATGTTTATTTCATGGACCTACGCAGTTTAATGTGTATGTAGTAATAATATATAAAGTTACGGCAAGAATATATTGTGACTGCCAGTCGTAGGTAATCATACCTAAGAAATCATTAAACAAATTTAGGGAACCCTGAATTATAAGCTTCAATATTATAAAACTATATTACTGAGGTAGAGAACAATGAATTATATTACTACAGAATTCATGCTGCCAGTTGAAAGTCTGAATGCATTGCATGACTTCTTGTCCCTTGTTAAATGCCCTGTAGTGTTTGCGGGGAACCAATTCATTGATATGGAAGTCTTGAGCCAGAAGATTAAGTTCAGTGAGTTAACATAAGAACATAAGAATGGAGGAAACTGCAGCGGGCCTATTGGTCCATACTGGGCAGTGCCATTTACACCCAACCCCTATTGCTCATATATCCATCCAACCTATGTTTGAAGCTATCCAGCGTATTCGAGTTAATAATGATGTTTGGTAACTTGTTACATTCATCCAATAGTCTATTTCTAAACCAATGTTTACCTATTCGGGGCTAAATCTAATTTTCTCTAATTTAAAGCCATTGTTACGAGTTCGCTCCTGGTTGGATAGTTTGAGTACCTTTGTAATGTCACCTTTGTTTAGCCCTGACTTCCATTTATACACCTCTATCATGTTGCCCCTCACGCTACGTCTCTCGAGGGAGTGCAAATTAAGATGCCTTAACCTGTCTCTGTACTCGAGGTTCCTAATGTCTGGGATTTGTCTTGTCATTCTCCTCTGAATTCTTTCTTGGGATTCTATATCCATTCTGTAATACGGTGACCAGAATTTAACTGCGTAATGCAAGTGAGGTCTCACAAGGGAAAGATATAATTTTAGGATGACCTCTCTAGTCTTGTAACTAACACACCTTAGCCTTGTTAGCCAGCCAAGCAAGCCAGGGATGCCACCAGATCCCTAGCATAAAGGTCCCTTGTGCCGTAAATTTGTCCCAGTTGTTAATGAATGGGACTATGCTAACGTCCAATTCGTCTATCAAAGGACTAAACGAGTTTTTACACTTACCTGTTGTCGTTTCCTTGGTGTCTTTTCTCACTACCATTTTCGTCGTTCTTCTCCTCACTTCCTTCCATTCACCTGTGTCTTCGTCAGACACGGGCTTTCCGTGCCTCGTGTCTTCTTCCTTCATCCTCAGTATCACTTCCTTTAATTTCAAGTTTTCTTCTTTGGCCTTCTCTAACTCGGCCCTCAGAAGGGCACAGCCCTGTTAACAAGTAGCACTAGCCATTACCGCCAATTGTCCCCGGGAGCTAAGTCTGCCGTGACCTTTCCTCTAACGAGGTCAGAACACATCTGGTAATAATTTACGCAGAACACATGAAACAGTGGATATGTCAAGTGGTACTATTATTCATGATTAAGAATAAACGTCTACGTGTGGGAGATGTAAACAGAGAAAACAGATATGAAATAAACAATGTTGTTATAGAGAAATACGAAGGTGAGAAAGATTCATGGTTAACGATAAGTAGGAATATTAACCAAGACAACAATCCGTATTTGCTCGAAATAAGTCTAACAAAGTCCTTGTGTTCATAAAAAAGGAGTGTTAGTTACTAGACTAGTGAGGTTATTCTAAAACTATATCGTGTGCTTGTGAGATCTCACTTGAATTACGCGGTTCAGTTGTGGTTTCCGTACTACAGAATGGATATAGAATCCCCAGAAAGCATTCGAGGTGGATGACAAGACTAATCCCGGGCATTAGGAACCTTGGGAACAGAGACATATTAAAGCATCTTAATTTGCTCTCCCTCGAGAAATGTAGAGTGAGATGCGATATGATCTAGGTAGTCAGGGTTAAACAAGAGGGAATTAACAAAGGCACTCAAACTTTCCGGCAGGAAGCAAAATCGAAACAATTGTTTCAAATTAGGCAATTTAGATTAAGGTGCGAGATAGGTAAACACTGGTTTGGCAATAAAGTAGTGGATGAGTGGAATAGGTTACCGAACTTCATCATTAACTTGAACACGCTATGTAGCTTTGAATATAGATTAGAAGGATATATGAACGATAGGCGTTGGGTGTAAACGGGACTGCGCAGTATGGACCAATAGCCTCGCTGCAGTTTCCTCCATTCTTATTATTCTTAGCATCAGTATTATTGATAGATTACGGGCAGCAGCGTGGGAGTTGCCCATCTGAACTTCTGTACTGATCATTTCAAAAATTTCTTACACAAATAATCAAGGTAAAATTTCGTCTTGTACTGTACCTTGAACACAATATTCACAGCGTTCCTCCCGCTGAAGCGACGACAAGCAACTGTTTACCGCAAGTGTCAGTCCAGAATATTTATCAGCGGGTGAAGGTGAGGACGAACTAAGTTTGGCAACTGATAAATGACGTCATGGCGAACTTAAACCATGATTGGTGGAATATATACATAACATAAATAAAGGGAATATTAGGGATGACGCATACTCACACACACACATATATTTATATATATATATATATATATATATATATATATATATATATATATATATATATATATATATATATATATATATATATATATATATATCATGTAGATCCACAATGAAAACTTGGATAAGATAAATCTTGATAAAAACACACGGGAATATCCAGTAATCCAGTTGCCACTTAAGATGTCTTGAATAAAGACGAAAGCTAAGGTGCTCCGTTGTTTCCCTTTTCCCGTGTGTTTTTATCAATGTATATATATATATATATATATATATATATATATATATATATATATATATATATATATATATATATATATATATATATATATATATATATATATATATATATATATATATGTGTGTGTGTGTGTGTGTGTGTAGATCCACAATGGAAACGTGAATGAGATAAATTTTCATAAAATCACACAGGGAAAAAGGGAAACAATGGAACACCTTAGCTTTCGTCTTTATTCAAGACCTCTTCAGAGGCAACTGGATTACAAGGACCGAGAGGCTTAAGTACTCAAGGCGACCTTACTAAACGTGAGGTCAGGTCAGGTCCTTGTAACATTCAGAAAGTTTTATGTGACATTTAGAGACGTTAGAACAAAAAGGACTATCTGCCGAACAGGGAAACAGAAGTAAGCTAGGCTGAAACACTCATGACTCGTGGCGAGTTAAATCAAAACTTCCAAGGAACGCCCTCGGTCAGGGTATGGAAGCGTTTTGAACTAGGCCTATATCAATTTAAATGTACTTTATCGAATTAATGTAGACACGATTCATGAAGTTAAGGGACAATTATAAAATTTAAAGTTATTGTGGATCATTTGCCAGTTCTAAATATGTTACGTGTGTCCCAAAGAAAATATTAGAAATACCCGAAAGATGACTTCATGGGGGGGAGGCAGGCGAGCGCCCTGAGGTATGCAGGCATTGACCAGGCCCCAGTAGTTCATGGTCATTGACCGAAAGGGACGTTTAACTACGTGTTCCACCAAACAGAGCGACCACGTGGCCTCGTCCCTCATCCGTGTTGCAAGTAAGTCCGTATTCGATCTCAGACAGTGTTGAGATAGGGCGTAGAAGAAATTAACAGTAGTTACCAAAGTACTTATTTTGCAGGGTCACGAGACCCCACCTGGTTGGTGGTTGGTGGTGATGGTGGTTTGGAAGACATAGCTGGTTACTCAAGGGGTGGACACCCACACGGCCTGCGAGCAGACCAAATTACCAAATTACCATGACTGACCGCAGAGCTTGGATGTGGTCGACCTGGTTCATCGAATCTCCCCACCTAGATTCATACAACACCACAAGAACCACCCACACATTTCCTCAGTAAGTCAACGAAAAATCTTACTAACGGGAAAGTAGAACTCCTCCGTCAGCTGGGCAGGGTTCACCTGGTTGTACTCAGAGCTGGTCTAACTAGGCGGGCTGACGGTCGCTCTCTTTCTGTCCATGGAGTACTGGGAGTAAACTGAGTGCAGACTGAGTGAATGAAGGGTCACACGCTGGAACCAGGAGTTCTAGTGGTTGCATAGAGACATTCATCTCCCCAGTATTGAGTGAAGGTGATGAAAATAGCCAAGTCCAGGTGTGTAATCAACGCTCCTCATGGTTGATTGCACACGTGGGACGTAGGAGTTCCTCTTCAAAGTTGGTTGATTCTGTAGCACCTTAAAGTACGGGTGCATTCTGAACTTATGTGTGAAGCATGTTACGGGTGATGGTGGAGAAATGCACTCATGACTCCTGAACCTAGAAGAGTAATGAAAAAACAGCGGAGCACCCGCCTGCCTGACGGGTCATGAGTGATTTTCTCAGTTTCTTGTAAATGCCTGCCACTTGGCAGGTTAGTAGTTACAACCTTCGCGTTCTGGGTAGTTAGGACAGTTAGGATTATAGTATTTTGTGGGTCATCCCAGACAGGCTATGAGTGATCCATGTTCTTGTGTAGTGTGACTAAATCGGGATTTCTATTCCTCAGTGATTGCTATAATTTTGTCGGATGCCCTTAAGGCATTTTCATCGGTACAAGTAATATTTTTTTAATGTTTTATGTGTCACTAAGTGATGTAGGATGTACGAAGGAATTGTCTCAGATAAGTTCCTCGTTCTGGTGTATGTAGTACTGCTGCATTATTAGTTGTATCCGGATGCCATTAATATCTTTTAATAATTTTATTGATACCAAGTACAACTTTTGTGTCTCATTGTAGTGTTGTAAGCCACGCTAAGAGGTACTCTAGTGTTTGTGTACAAATATTGTCTGTAGTGTTGGAAGGAATAGAAGTGTTATCTCTTACCAGTGCGTCTCATTAACCCCAATCACAGGTACTAGCTGTTCCACGGTCACGGAAAATACTTTTATTAATTGTTTGTGCTGCTTCGGTATTCTCTGAGGGGCGCTTCCACTGCATTACCATCCACTATAACTAAAAAACCCCAATAGGTAGAATTCCGGCCCAAGCGCTTAGTAATCACATCTCAGGGGTGAGTATCTCAACTGTGTATAGGAATATGCTAAAAAATTTGGTATGGCAATGGGTAATCCACTCTCACCTGTATTAAGCAACCTATATATGGAATTCTTTGAGAAGAAACTATTAAGTAATATTTTACCACCTTCAGCAGTGTGGTTTAGATATATACTGTAGATGATGTATTATGTCTCTGGCCAAGTAATGAGGACCTAAAAGCTTTCCTGCCACAACTTAACCCCCTCGATCAAATTCACTGTGGAATTAGAGCATGATTGTAGATTGCCATTCCTAGACTGTCTGATATACAGAATAGGTAACACCTTTAAGTTCAGTATTTTTAGGAAACCTACTAATGTGTGTTCATACATTCATTATTATTCTGACCACCATAATAGAGTCAAACAGTCAGTATTTTCATCAATGTTTTGACGTGCTTTGAGAATTTGCAGCCCGGAATTCATTGATGAGGAATATAAATTTATCTATAATATTGGCTTGAACCTTAAGTACCCTAGATCTTTCATAGACAAATGCCTTCACATTACTAAGAAATCTTTCTATAGAACTGATCCCAAGCCCACCCATGACCATAAGAATCTCTTAGTATTACCATTTCACAAAAATTTCTCTCAAATTCCTTTGCAACTAAAAACCTGGAACGTCAATGTGGCATTTAAGAACTCATGCACTGTTAAACAAATGTTAATCAAGAACTCCCCCAACAATACAGGTGGCTGCATTTATAAAGTTCCTTGCAAGGAATGTAATATGTTTTTTCTTAGGCCAGACAGGTAAAGATCTTGTAACTTTACTTAAACAACATAAGTATAGTGTTAGGACAGGCCAGGAATCCAATGCTCTGTTTGTTCATTTGAGGGAAAATAAGCATTGCATTGACTGGTTTAATGCCTCCTCAATATTACCTTGTAATTCAATTGACAGTAGAAACATTATAGAATCTAATCTCATTAAACATACCCAAGCAGTCAACATGAATTTGAGTAATGGTTGCTAGAGGATCGACATTTTTTCACACTTAAGTTTTCTAAAATTCGCGACCTGAGATTCAATTTTCCTTTTGTGGAGCACAATCTATTAACGGTACTCTGAAAAAAATGGCACTGGAAAATTGGCACAATTTTCATACCAGGGATAAAATGGCACAACAAATTTCACTTCGAGCTCACGAACCACAAACGAGCTAATGAACGTTCATAAAGCAACGCTCAAGGATGAATCACGCACTAACAACCTTTGTGAGGGGTGGAACAACCGATGCAGCAGGTTGGTTGGGCATCATCATCATCAGCCATTGTTAGTCCATGCTTAATGGTTTATTAAATTTAGAAGATTTTTCCATAACTTAATTGATGGTGTGGTTGTGATCAGTTGTGGTATATCTTGGCTGGTTGGAGTCGAGTACAGCATTTATTCTATTTGTAATTATATTTGTAAAGAGTTTGTAAACTACAGAGAGCAGTCTTACTGGTCGATGGTCTTTAGATCTTTGGTGCATTCTTCCAGGCTTTTGGTACAGTATGGGTCTGTAAACATTTTGTATAGTGTTATGAGTTTACCTAATAAAATCTCCTGCTTTTTTGATCAGGTCAGTGGTTAAGCAATTTTCCCCTCCTCCTTTGCCCTTACTCATTCCTTTCAAAGGTTGATTTTCTTCCTATACTAACAGGTTGGTTGGGCACAGCCACCAGTGGATCCAACCCGACCATGCTTATTCCAACTCTACGCCTCCTACTCCTGCTGAACCTACTGTACGTACTTTCCTATAATCTCCACTCTCATAGGGTTGCTGGTCTGTTATCCAGGTTAGATGTGAGTAAGGCACATGGACCGGACGGAATACCCTCGTGTTTTGAGGGAGTGTGCTGAAATTCTAGCCCCTGTGCTTTCTCGCCTTTGACTCAAAACCCAAACTTTTCCTTCTTCTTGGAAGCATGCTTTAGTTCAGTCCATCCCGAAGAAGGGTGACCATTCCAATCCCTCTAACTAACGCCTCATTGCCCTAACTTCATCCCCCTCTAAGATTTTCGAAACTAACCTAAACTCTCATTTTCTCCGTCACCTTAACAGCTTTTCTCTTTTGTCCGATCACCAGTATGGCTTTCGCCAGGCGAAATCTACTGGTGATCTGCTCTCCTACAGCACCCATATTTGGTCAATGGTCATCCTCTCTTAGGGATTATGGAGAAACTTTCTTCGTGGCCCTCGACATCTCCAAAGCATTTGGCAGGGTATGGCACAAGTCTTTGCTTTAGAATCTAAACTTCCCTCTTATATTTTCTCTCTCCCAGTTTGTTCTCTAATTTCTAGCTTCCTTGAGAACCGATCCATGACAGTTGTTGTCAAGGAA